CGCTCCACTCGCCTTCGCGCTCCTCTCGCCCGCCCATGGAATTAATTCTGGCTCCACTTGTTGCTCGGCCCAGGTCGGGGAGAGGACGAGGGTGGCGGCGGGTTCCCGAGTGAATTCCCAAGGAGGGACCGAACTCAGCGCGTACTAGAGGGGAGCGAGGGGGTGCGGGACTGGAGCAAAAGCAGGAAGGAGGCAGCGCCTGGCACCGGGGCTTTGACTCAACAGCAATGAGACATGTTTGTAATCGCTGGCGTGCCCCGCGTGCAGGATCCTAGCGAAATCAGATTTCCTGGTGAGGTTGCGTGGGTGGATTAATTTGGAAAAAGAAACTGCCTATATCTTGCCATCAAAAAAAAAAAAAAACTCACGAAGGAGAAGAAGCGCAGTCAATCAACAGTAAACTTAAGAGACCCCGGATGCTTCCGTTGTTTAAACTTGTATGCTTGAAAATTATCTGAGAGGCAATAAACATCTGCTCCTTTCTTCCCTCTCCAGAGTGGAATATTAAGCCCAGGAGTGGCTTTGAGGACGGCTGGAAGTGCAATGTCTTCCAAGTTCTTCCTAATGGCTCTGGCCATATTTTTCTCCTTCGCCCAGGTTTTAATAGAAGCCAATTCTTGGTGGTAAGTTCATTTCTATGTGTATATTCCTCTTTTTTAAAATTTTAAATTGGAAATTCTTTTGTAAGATGCTGCAACATTTAAAGCTAGGAAGTGAATGTAGGTTCATTTATCCAATCCATGTATGTATGATCTATTTTACTTATACATATTTTAAAATTAGTATTTTCTTTTAACTTGTTGATATATTGTAAAGCTTTATCTTCAGTTCCTTAGGAAATCAGAACCTGTAAATCTAGGCCTTTTTTCTGTAAGGCCCTTGTTCAGACCTGTGCTTGTAGAACATCATGTAATAAAAGGGAACAGAAATTCACTTCTCTAATAATTGTAAGCCTATCTATAAAATTTATTTTTTTGCCCCTTTTGGTTGTTAAAATTGGTTTTCACTTTTTTTTTTTTGTCACTTGAGGTTATTAACCTACAGAGCAGCAGAGTGGTAGGGAGACAGTTCTACACCAAGTGGAGAAGTGTTTGGGCTTGAAATTTGATCAAAAGGAGGTGAACTTGAAGTAGTCAAATATCCGTAGTGGGGGTTTCTTTCTTCTTTCTGGAAGGGCCTTGTAGACTGCAATATATCCAGAGGATTATTTTTGACGGCACTCTGGATATTTTTTCCCCTGTAAATGAATAGCATTTTTCTGTCTGTCAAACATGACTTCTGTTCACTGGATACCCTGTGCTGAGTCCTTCACAATCACATAAGGAACTCTTTTAAAGTATCCAGAAACGTGGTGAATTTTCTTCAGTGCGTATACTTGTCCCTCTGTTCTTCCATCAGTCGAAAAGAACTGCTATCTCCTAGCCATGTCTAATTGTGTCTACTTTCAGCATTCATATGTTTTCAAGGAAGGCAAATCCAATTTGTGGGGCAAAGTGAGTTACTTTTCTCTAATGTCAAAGGCAGTCCCCCCGAAACTGCCATTTCTCCCTTTTCTGGGTAGATTTTGGAAATGTGGGTTCAGGTATATGGCAAATGAGGGCAAGAAAGGGAGTGAAAGTGCTAACTACAGAGCCAGCTGGCAGGATGGGGACTGCACAATACCTCCGTTTTCTGAGCGGAGTTTAAACAGAAGAGTTTTATGAAGCCCTCCTCATACTTTGTCATGAGGACAAGCAGGAGAGAAAAAGCATCTGTGTGCTTAAAACTATGTATTGCTGACATGCTTTCAGGGGGCCCACCTCCAGAGTTCACGTAAATCTTGAATGCACATCTCCCCCCCCTTTGCAGGTCGCTAGGTATGAATAACCCTGTTCAGATGTCAGAAGTATATATCATAGGAGCACAGCCTCTCTGCAGCCAGCTGGCAGGACTTTCTCAAGGACAGAAGAAACTCTGCCACTTGTATCAGGACCACATGCAGTACATTGGAGAAGGCGCGAAGACAGGCATCAAAGAATGCCAGTATCAGTTCAGACATCGAAGATGGAACTGCAGCACTGTGGATAACACCTCAGTCTTTGGCAGGGTTATGCAGATAGGTAGGAAACCACTTAAAATATATGTGAACTTTTTTTTTTTTTTCCCTAGAAAAAGTCTTCCATGTTTGCTCATGGGCTGGATGAGGAGGGCATCTTCCAGCTTGGATGATGGCCTGGGGATTTTTGTCATTACAGTGGTCCCACATCTGATCCTAAGTTTCTAACTTCTTTAACCAGATCACAAGGGAGCATAAGGGACACCTCCATTTTCCTGAACACCTACTTTTTATAAAATGCATTTTGTTGAAAGTAGAAGCAGAAAACTTCTTCTAGTTTCTCAGAAGCAAATGGTGGTGGGGAGAGGGGAGTCAAGTCATTTAGAACCTTTTAAATGTAAAAACTCTTTTGTTAGAAGTTTCTTAAGCCACAATTCAAAGGACCAGACATCAAACTAAAAACCGTCATCTTTCAGAATGCTGGATAAGTTGCAAGTGAACAAGGTTTTAATTTTCTTAAAATAGATATGTCCTGAGACCACGATGATATATATGTTAAAAGCATTTTTTTTTGGTTCTAGAAAGAATTTTAATTAGAAATGATGTAATTTGCATGGATGATTTTGACAATTGACAGAAAAGCACATCTTTGGGCTCTCAACCTAGGAACTTAAAAAAATAAGTTTTAAGTATATTGCTTACAGTTGGGTTTTTATTTTAAATACGTTGTTGAACTTGTTATTCCATTCAGGGAGGAGATAGAATTTAAAATGAACTCAAGGCAAAAAAAAAAAATTGAAAGATCAGTTTGCCTGTGGTTTGGTTTAATAGTCTAGGATCCTACTTGACAGATGTGGTCCTATGTGTGTTTCCTAGTGTGAATATTTTAGGTCTCTTTACTTTTATGCAAACAAGACCTTATAATTAATATGACTGCAGTAACTGAAAATAAGAAGCTATTTATCAAAGCAATTAACTGTTTATACAGACTGAAGATAAAAGTTAGCTTAATATCCATCACGGATGGATAAAATGCTTAAAAAAAAAACAAACCCCAAACCCTGAAAAGTGCGTTCATTGAGAACAAAAAAGTGTTGTCAGTAGATGTTTGAGCCAAGGGGCTTCATAAACTAAAATAATACGAAATTGGAAGCCATTCCTCTTACTGAATGGGAAAATGGCTTGGAGCCCCAGCTTGCAAGCTTCATAGGCCTTTGTTCTTTCAGTTAATGATTGAAATGTGCTAATGTATACACCGGGGTTGTATGGAGGGGCTGAGCTTCAGGAACATAGGAGTGGTCCTTGCATCTAGATTCATCTGATGGAGTTAACTTGGGATGTGCTGGAGACTTAATTCCGCATTCTGATACTGTGTGAGAGCTATAGACTCTTAAAACTCTTTTCAAATAAGTTTTCAGTCCCCCACCCCCCGCTTCTTTTATATTCCTCCTCAGCTGCCTGCCTCTTAAATGATGGGACCATATTTTTTTTTTCCACATGGATATGAGTTAGCAAAAAATCATACACCTCTGATGGGAACTAGAAGAAAAATCGCAGTTGGAACTGTTTTTCTGTGTAGTCACTTGAACACAGCTTTGATTTAATGTCCTCTTCTCATCTTCATACATGGCCTGTTTGGGGCCAAAATGCTCAGAATAAGCTATCATTTGCTAAGTGAATTTAAGTTCTGCTGGAGATGTATTTTAAATGCGATCCAAGATTCAAAGAGGCTATTTCCTCAGGGAATAAGCAGAACACTTGGGACAAAGGCCTACATTTAATTGTCCCTCGAAAGAACACTCTCTGGTCCTCCCTCAGCTGTGTCGCTGGGATGTGAGTGGGTGGGGAACCTCCAGACAGCCTTGAAGGGGCCCTCCTAGATGTTGTGGGCAAGTCAGCTGATGTCCCTGGAAGATGAGAGCACATGCCGCATCCTTCCTGGCCAAAGTCCCACAGTGCCTGGTATCTCAGAACAGAAGGCTGCTGCTGGGTGGCTTGTGGTGGGACATGGATGGGGCCTTCTCTTTCATGCTTATTAGAATGAAGAGATAGAGAAAAGTAAAAAATAGAGTCAGTTTTTATGAAATAGGAACATGGACCCAAATCCAGGAGGGGAAAGTTTCTTTGCTTTTACTTCTCCACTTCAGGAGAAGTTTGAAGGGAATCAGCTCAGAGAAAATTTAAAAGACCTTTGATGCCCAATGGGTGTGGGTGCACCCGTCCCCAAAGCACTTAGTAACCCAGGGACAGTGAGAGTTAATTCTTGTCTGAGCCAATCTGACTGTGTGAAGGGCCAGTGTCTGAGAAGCTCAGCTGCCACCTCTGACCCGCTCCTCAACTCATTTTTCTAAGGTGCCAGTTGGCTTGGAGGCACCGTGCACAATTGCCTCATGAAGGGCCCGCTCTTCGTTTTGGAAACTCTCATTTTTCATCATGCTAACCCTTCCCATCCAGCTTTTGTCCCCGTCTTGTCTTTGTTTCCACACTGTGAAAAGATATGTCAGGAGGGCGCCATTTTTAAGGGGTCTGAGGATCCAAGCAGATGTAGATTTCACACAGAGGGAAACCTCACTGAATTAGCAGTATTCCAAACCCGGGGATGACTGTATCCACAGGCCATTAGCCAAAGAGCACTTTTCAAACTAACATTTTTTTTGCTGCAGTGACCAGTCAGCTTAGAGATGTCTACCAGGTTTGCATTCTAGGGCAAAAAAAGGAAGAGGGACAAAAAAAGAAAACAAAAAGCAGCAGAAAAAAAAAAAAAGACTTAACGAAAAAAGCAACATTTGTGTTTTGTGTAAAAGCCCCTTAATACTCTGTGTACTCAAAGGGCAGTGTCTTATTTCTCTCTGTCCTCAGAGGATCACTTTATCTCCTCTTCCTTTAGCCACAGTTTCTTTATTCTACAAGTCTCCTGTCCATGGCCATGACATTTTCTGTATTATCAGCGTTAATCCTCAAATAACTCCCTGGTATCTGTCTGCTCTCCTCATTTGTTTCCACTCCCTCCATGTTCTCTGCCTCTCTAATCTGAGCTAGATAGATTAGATGCTGCAGGAACCTTCTGGATCCTCCTGCCAACCAGGAGTACTCCTCAAGTTATTCATTTTTAAGACGTGGGAGGGGGAAGGTCTGTGGTGAATCAGAGCCACCGCCATTCCTGGAAGGGGATATCACAAATGGCCACAACTCAAGTGCGGAGCAGGGACGTCTCAGGAGAGGGCCGTCTACGGATGCTTGAGTTGGTGTGGCCATTCTCCTATAGAATGGTCTGCTGGATACATAGTTGGCATAGCCATCCTCCTGCATGGGACTAGGTCCTGTTGTTACCTTTCCTGCTGCTGACTTCTCATTCCTTCAAAAGAGGTGGTTAGCAAGCTCTCAAAGTAAGTGCAGGAGAAACTGATTCTGATACGGGATTTCCATGCCAGAAGGGGCCTTTCCCCCCTGAGCATCTCGTTCAATACCCTTATTTTACAGTTGAGGAAAGTGAGGCCCTTCATCCCAAGCCCCGGTCCCAGCTTCAGCTGTCTGAGTTGAAGGCTTTCTCTCTAATCGGACACTTTTTTTTTTATCAAGTGGCTTCTTGTTACACATAGAAATGTCTCCATATGCAAATGGAATTTGAGTGGCCTACGATAGCCTCTATTTTTCTTATTACAAATAGAGTTCCTATAACTTTTATGAGAAGATATATATATATATATATTTTAAACTGGAAGGAGACTAACTCTCCCCCCCTCTTCCCCCTAAGCTGTGTGTGTGTGACACTCTGAGGCAGAGACAGGAAGATGGTTGCTGTAGTGGCAGTAGAGAACAGCAGTGTTTTAAAAGAATATGAGTACTCTTGAGTGAGAAGTACCAGGCCAATCAGTTTGGGATTTAAAAAGCAAGTTTTCATTTATCACTCTTTATGAACACGTTTAGAACTGTCCCCTGGGCAATCAAAAAGCCTTGTCCAGAGGCAGACTTTGTGCTGCATGATGGGACAGAAGGAGAGTTTACAAGTGGCAAAGGAGGAGGTGCCAGGCAAAAACCCAGTATGGCCACAACTTGTGTGGCCATAGGAATAATCTGGCTTGGATGGGGCTGGGGGCGTCTAAGACATGTAGAGGCTCCAAGCCTAGCAAATTCTATGCTCCTGTGCGAAATGAAAATAATACCAAACATTAGAATAAGGGTAACAAGTCTACCCCAATTCCAAGCTTTCCTTCAGTGACTTCTTTCATGGACACTTTGGGAAATAAGAAGTTTGGATATCTTCACAACAGCCCTAGAGAAAATCAATCCAGCACTGCTGCCTTAGGTTCTGAAATGTCAGAGAGAAGATACCAAAGATCTCCTCTCTTTTGTTACTTGTTGCTTCTCTCTGTGTTGAGGCTCTTTCTGAGCTCCCCCTTGAGGTGGGCCCGGAGCCTGGGTGTCAGTTAGGGATAGGGAGGGCCTGTGGTAAGCAGCCAGGCTGAGGTTTATCTCGGCAGGGCTTGCAGTGTTGGGGGCTTTGCCTGGCCCCATCCCCTAGGGTAGTCCAGGGTGGGCATGTGCTGGGGTTTCTTCTGCCCTGCTCAGTGGGACCAGGGCTGGTCTGTTAGGGCCTCACCCTGCCCCTCAGCAGGGACTGCACACCTGGGTGTGGGGTGTGTGGGGGGTGGATTCTCCTTGTTCCCCTGCCCCCAGCCTCCCAGCTGATGTGCTGGGGCACACCCTGCTCCCCACCCCAGCTAGCATGTGTTGGGCCTCCCTCTGCCCTCTCCAGGAGACCCAGCGGGGGGTTCTCTCCGCACCCCCAGCGGGTCACAGGCCTAATGGGTGGGCAGGCAACCTGGTGACCCCACGTCCTCGCCCGCAGGCAGCCGCGAGACGGCCTTCACGTACGCGGTGAGCGCCGCGGGGGTGGTGAACGCCATGAGCCGGGCGTGTCGCGAGGGCGAGCTGTCCACCTGCGGCTGCAGTCGCGCCGCGCGCCCCAAGGACCTGCCGCGAGACTGGCTGTGGGGCGGCTGCGGCGACAACATCGACTATGGCTACCGCTTCGCCAAGGAGTTCGTGGACGCGCGCGAGCGGGAGCGCATCCACGCCAAGGGCTCCTACGAGAGCGCGCGCATCCTCATGAACCTGCACAACAACGAGGCGGGCCGAAGGGTGAGTCTGCCCGCGCGTCCTGCCCCGCCACCAGGCCTGCTGTCCCCAGCCACAGTGGCTTCCGGTGCCTCTACCGCCTCCTGGCTGTTTCTGGCTCGACATGTCTTTCTCTTTCCCGGTCTCATTCATCTTTCCTTGTGTCTCTCCGCCTCTCTCCTGTCCTCCTGTCACCACCCATCTCTTCCCTTCACGTCATCCGTCTCTGGAGAGGGGTGCACACCCCTGAGAGGGTTCCTAGGGGTGAATCATCCCACCTGCCCATCCCAGCCAGCTGCTGGACGAGCTAGCTAGATCTCCCCTTCCTTGTTAGCCAGTCCCCAGAGCAATTTTAAAAAATAAAAATGTTAATAATTTTCTCCCTCCTCCTTGGAGCATGTTTGTGGTTGGGTTGCAATTTGGAGAGAGAATTTGTGTTTATCCTCAGTAGATGCCCCACTGAGAAAGGCCTCACCCTAGCTCTGAGGCCTTCTCTTTCTTTTCCTTTCCTTCTCCCTGCTCTCCTTATGTCATTAGATAGCAAGCCCGATGGGTTGAGGGTTTTTAAAAAGGGCTTTTCTAGGAAAAACGACAGCATTTTTAGCAGCGTGGAATTTTATAGGGCTGACCAACGGGCCAATCACAAGAGTGGCTGTGGAGAGGAGGGGAGCAGCAGCAGTGCCCAGTGAGACTGGTCTTGCAGCCCTCTTGATTCCCCCGGACCCCACTCTCTCCTTCTCCTGATGGGGATATGAAAAGCTACTCCACAATAGTTAAAAAGACCCTTTTTTTTCCCTGCGGTTAAACACATGGCACTTTATGGCTGCTTTAAAATGAAGGGGTGAAAACTTTTCTTAACTTTGGCAGCAGTGAAAACCAGGGCCATTATTTTTTTTTTTTTTTTTTTCACAGAACCCAAGGTAGGTGCCAGGAACTTTCTGGTCAGAGATTTCACTCTTCTGTATTTTGGGGTGAGGAAAAAGAGAGATAATCACAGAGTAGATCGTTCAGGACTGGAAGGAGCCTTAGAACCCTCTGGCCCACACCCTCATTTCAAAGATCGGGAAACTGAGGCCAAGAGAACCACTTCATGACCCTGGAAGAAAATTAACGGATTGAAATCTAAGTCTAGGTTCATTTATATTAAACTCTTGCATCATAGTTAGGGGTGAAGGGCCAGAGCTTTTGGAATTAGAGGTTTCAATCCAGTTTAGTCTGTTCCGTTTGGTTTCTGAGCCTCCGTTCCCTTACCTCCACCTCTGTTAATGGCCATGACAGTGACTCTCACTTGGGGTTGTTGTAAGGACTAAACAAGACCATGTGGTAGGTTGAACCATATGACCTTGGCAATTCGTGGCCATTTTTGACTGACAAAATGATAATTTCATTTGATTCAATCTAAGGCTTTAGTTTCAGTGTCAGCCAGTAGTAAGTGCTTGATAAATGATCACTTAATTATTAAATGTTATGGAGTAAAAGATGTGGAGAAGTCAAAGATTGCATAGATAAATCCTGCTAACTTATCTTCTTCTCAAATATTAAACATTTGGGGGTGTCAGGTAAAGATAAAATTCTGCCAATTTTTGCCTGTGGTTGCCTTCAGGACTCAAATAATCACTCCAGTTGAAATGTAGCCTCCTGTCCCCGGCCTCCTCTGCCACAGAGCCTGCACTATTCGTTGACATGGTTGGGTTCAGCCCTGTTCTGTCTGAAAGCCCATGACCTGGCTCCTATCCTTATCAGGGACACCTCACTCCACTCTGTGCCTCTGACCAGAAGCACCTCCAGGAGAGAGGTGTGGCGACTGCTCTGGGTCCATCCAGGAGTGCACCCATATTCCACACTCTCAGCCATCTTTAGAACATTCTTACAATTCCCCGCCTCCCCCCCAACATGGAGAAATCATCAGGGGCTTGACAACCAAGGAGAGAGGGTTGGGGGATTTATAGATGACAAGAGGGGACTTTAGGAGATTTTGAAAGGTACCTTTCATATTTTAATTTCACTTAATATCCACATTTTTAATAGTGGGTTTTATTGGGGACATATTCTATCATTGGAGCAGTAAGCTGAGTTTAGATCCTGGTGGGTGAGGTTACATAGAAGACAGCTTTTCTCCAGGATGGTGGGGGTAGGGGTGGGAAGTTGGGCACTATGCCAGGAAGTCATATTAGAATTTCCTCAGGGCATTAGCTTTTTATTTTCCTCAAAGGAGAGCAAAGGTTAAATATGTTTGCAAAACCTTCCTCTGACTAGCTGAGTGCCTGAAAGTCTTTATGCCGAGAGTACACTTTGGCCCCTTTTAAAAGAAAGCCCCTTATGAATCCCTGGGGGAGGAAGGTAGCTGTCGGGTGGAAGCGGCCTCCAGGTTCCTGACTGGCCCTCACCAGCAAACCCACGCCATGTAGATTCTGCAAGGTTGCTGGCACAAGGAACTGTGGGCAGTAGGGACTATAAATAGGCAACCACCACCTCCCAGACTGCTGGGCACAGTGCTGTGGGGCCAGACCCATGGGCACTGCTACTGGGAGGCCAGAGATGACTGGGCAAGGGCCCAGACGCCATGCCCCCATCACCCTGGAGCAAGACCAGATGTACTCTGTCTGGCATGCCCAACACTTTCTGTGCCTTCCCTCATTTTATCCTTTTAACAGTGTTGAGAGGTTGGTACCTCACAGTCTCCTAGACGGATGGAAAATGATGCTTAGCAAGGTGCAGCCAATTGCCTAAGTTCAAGGGCAGAGTCAGGAACAGAATCTGTGTCTACCTGGCTCCAGGGTGGGTGCTTTTGGCCTGTGGGGTAGTGGGCAGGTTAGAGACTATGCTGGAAGCAAGAATGGCGACACCTGAAATCTAGGCCCAGTCTCCCCACATTCTGTCTATATGGCCTGTGCAGGTCACGTACTGTCTCTGTGTCACTCTGTTGTCATCTAACCCAGATCGAATGAGATCAAGAGCTGTGGCAGTGTCTGGCACACAGTAGTGATTGTAGGGTTGTATAAAGGTTCAAACCCCAATCCCAGTGGGGATGGACCCCTTCTAAATTCAAGACTTACCAACTGTGTGACCATGGGCAAGTCCTTTAACATGAGCTCAGAGTACAACTTCCTGGGTTCAAATCCTACTCCTCCACTTCCAAGTGGCTGGAGGATCTCATCTCTCTGGTTCTCACTTTCCTTCTCTGAAATGGGGATGATAAGAGCATGTGCCTTGTGGGATGGCGATCGGGATTCATTCAGGGAATGCAGACAAGGGATTGTGAAGTCACTGAGATGCATGTTCCCATGTACTGGGTTTCCCTAAAAAAGAAGCAAATGGAATTATCCACCCCCGTCCCCATTCAAAAACTTTGCCATCATATTTATTTTGTTGAGTTTTTATTAGAAGGCAACACCAGCCTTCTGGTAGTGGAGAATGAAGAAGTAACACAGCCCCTAATTGAAACCAGCTCCACTAGAAGGTGAAGAGCTTTGTTAATACAACCCACACCCACGTCTTGGGGTCCTCCATGAATTCGCACACTAACTCCCCTCCCTGTTGCTCCTAGACGGTGTACAACCTGGCCGATGTGGCCTGCAAATGCCACGGAGTGTCTGGCTCATGTAGCCTCAAGACGTGCTGGCTGCAATTGGCAGACTTCCGCAAGGTGGGTGACGCCCTAAAGGAGAAGTATGACAGCGCCGCGGCCATGCGGCTCAACAGCAGAGGCAAGTTGGTGCAGGTCAACAGCCGCTTCAATTCACCCACCACGCAGGACCTGGTCTACATCGACCCCAGTCCCGACTACTGCGTGCGCAACGAGAGCACGGGCTCCCTGGGCACGCAGGGCCGTCTCTGCAACAAGACGTCGGAAGGCATGGACGGCTGCGAGCTCATGTGCTGTGGCCGCGGCTACGACCAGTTCAAGACCGTGCAGACGGAGCGCTGCCACTGCAAGTTCCACTGGTGCTGCTACGTCAAGTGCAAGAAGTGCACGGAGATCGTGGACCAGTTTGTGTGCAAATAGTGGGCGCCTGCCCGTCACCCAGCCCCACTCCCAGGACCCACTTATTTATAGAAAGTACAGTGATGCTGGTTCTTTTTTTTTTTCTTTTTAAAAAATATTTTTTATTTTTTCCCCAAGAATTACAAGCAGAACCATATTTTTTTTTCTGTTACCATCTAAGAACTCTGTGGTTTATTATTAATATTATAATTATTATTTGGCAATAATGGGGGGTGGGAACCAAGAAAAAAAATATTTATTTTGTGGATCTTTGAAAAGGTAATACAAGACTTTGCTAATATAGGATGAGGGGATTACAACACACCCCCCAACTTAGCTGCCTGGAGGTAGTGTGCATCCAGAAAGTAAATACATTTTTTTTTTCTTCTCAACTCCGGAGTCATATGGGATGGGTTAGGATCAGTTGCAAGAGGATGGTGCAGGTCTGCTTGAGATTCTGCCTCTGTGACCAAAATGAGTTGTAAATGCTCTGGTGCAAAATAAAAGGTCTTGTAACAAAAAAAAGAGAGAGAGAAAATGAGATACTGCCTCCTCCTGCCACTTCCCAGGGGCTGCCAGCCTGCTTTTATATTTCCAAAATGATCATGTTAAATATAAGAGCAAGAATCTTGATCTTCAAAGAAAAAAAGGTATATCATATATCTCATTCTTCTCACATATTCCATGTACAGATGGTCTTATTCTAATAGCTGGTGCAACTTGGGTAGCAGAGAGGAAAGTCCCCAGAAATTTAAAAAAAAAATTGCAAGCTTCTAGATGGAGGCCATGATCGGAAGGTGTTCTCCCCAAATGATTCCGGCTATTATTTTGATCCAAATGATTTTGCATAATATTTTGTTTGGGGAGGGAGCATTAGCTTGATTATAAGGAAAAAAATATCTTGTGATTTTCTTAGGGATACTTGGTTCATAAAGGCTAGTAATGAAAATAATGCATGAATTCCATCCACAAATCCTCAGGCCAAACAGCAAGCTGATTGCATAGAGTTCCACACTGCACCAGAACAGAAAACCCAATTTGAGGGGGGGAAAAAAAAAAGTGAAATCCACCTTCCCACTTGACCCCAAGCCCTCTCTGGTCTCTCTGTGCCGTGATGTGATGCTGGCCACGCTTCCAAACGGCAGCTCCGCTGGGTCCCCTTTGATTATAGGACAGGAAATGAAATATGAGGAGTTCCACTTGGAAAACAGTGCGCTACTTAGGGATTTTTTTTTTCCTAAAACTTTTATTTTGAAGTGCAGTAACTTCGTATGTTTCAATGACATTACTCGGCTAACAGAGTTCACAGAGATGTCCCAGTGATTTGCTGTTATAATCCTGTGTTGAGACTATCCACCCGTGCTTTTCCTATTTTACTGCAGGTGTACCCCAAAACTGTTCCTAATATACTTGAACAGTTGCATTTATAAGGGGGGGAGAATGTGGTTTAATGGTGCCTGATATCTCAAGTCTTTTGTACATAACATATATATATATATATACATATATAAATATAAATATAATTATATCTTGGTGCAGCCAGTGATCTAGATTTACTGTTTACTCGGGGCTTATTTTTCTGTCTGGAGCATTGTCGTCCTTCACTGCAATTTATCCAGTTGGGATTTTTCCAATTTTTTTTTTTTTTTTTTTGAGTCTTGAGCTTGGCCTGTGGCCCTTGCCGAGCACCAGGAAGCAAGCTGGTTTCTGAGGAAGCTTGACAGTCTGACTGGCTGAAGTGCATGTTGATTTGGAGATTGTTTTCCTCTTTCCTGTCCAACTTCTTTTCTCCTGCCTCCTTTTCTTTGTAGACTGTGTGGAGAGGGCATTATTTGTTCAATGCAGGTATGGATGGTAAGAGGTACAACCCAGAAACATTGTCATCCCTTCTCACGGTGTTTAGCTCATTCTGCAGAGTGGAAACTGGTACCTGTCAGACTTGATGGCACTTATTTGAATCCCTAAGGAAAACCCAGTCCACTATATAGAAAGCTAGTTTTTTTTTAAAAACCAGGACACCTCTTTTCCCAAAGTGCCATCAAGTGTGTCCCTATCTCAAACTCACATGGTTTTCAAGGTTTGGGACGATGCACATCACCCATACCCTTTGTAGGCTTGGTGGCCTGCACATCACCTCAGCCAGCTGTGGCTCTTAATTTATTGCACAAGGATATTCACTTCCCCTTAGTTGCAGTGAATTGAAAGAAAAGATCTTGAAATTAAAAAAAGCACTAATGAGTTTAAAATGTCACTTTTTTTGGTTTTTATTCTTCAAAAACCATGAAGTACTTTTTTTTATTTGCTAAATCAGATTGTGTTCCTTTTTAGTGATTCACGTTTATGAACAGAGTTGAGTTTAACGATCCTAGCTTTTAAAAGAAACTATTTAATGTAAGATATTCTATGTGTCATTCAGATATTATGTATATCTTCTATGGCCTTTATTTTGTACTTTTAATGTACATATTTCCGTCTTGTGTGATTTGTATATTTCACTGGTTTAAAAAACAAACAAACATTGAAAGGCTTATGCCAATGGAAGATAGAATAAATAAAATATTACTTGTATATTGGTAAGTGGTTTCAGTTGTCCTTCAGATAATTCATGAGGAGGTTTTTGGAGAAAGGCATGAGGGATAGCTTAGGATGACTACATGTTAAAATAACGGAAGAGGAGAGAGGGTTTTTTTTTTTTTTTTTTTACCAAAACCAAACTATTTGGAAGCTTCAAAAGATTTCTATATGTAACAGAACAAAAGGGGAATTCTCTTTTCCTATATTTGTTCCACAAAAAAAAAAAAAAAAAAAAAGATATGTTTACCACTGCAACTATTGCACCTTTATGTTAGAGCATGAGGTGGAGCAGGTGTGCTATCTCTATGCCCCTTTGAAAACAGTTTTTATGAAAAGAAAGCCTCAGTCTGCAATTAGAACACGTTTTTGTGCTTTATGGAAATGTACACCTAATTCTAGCCAGTCCCGCACAGATTGATACTTAGCCCTTTGCATCTTTTTGTTCTTTTTTCTTTCTTTCTGGATAACCTTGTAACATATTGAAACCTTTTATGGACGCCAAGAATACATTACTCCACAAAAAAACAGTAGGCCAACATATAGAGTGTTTAAAATAGCATTTCTGGGCAAATTCAAACGCTTGTGGTTCTAGGACTCACATCTGTTTCAGTTTTTCCTCAGTTGTATATTGACCAGTGTTCTTTATTGCAAAAACATATACTGGATGTAGCAGCGTCAGCATATTTTTTTTCCTTCTCATCCTGGAGAGCATTCAAGATCTTCCCAATACAGGAAAATTAACAAAAAATTTATATACAGGCAGCAGCAAACAGGGCCGTGTTCAAAATGGTCATTATGGCCTTAAGTAAAAGCAAGATTTTTGTGTCTCAGTCTAGCGTCTCTGTTCAGTTTTTTTGAGGTGCTGGCCTCCTGAGGTCAGTGGCCTCTCCAAAGTCTTTCTCAGATGATTTTGCCAATACCAGTTTTCAATTTGTGTTTATAAAACATTATTCAAACCACTGGTGTCCCCAGATATGACATGATAGAAGGACACTGAGTTCTCCAGACAAGACTGGTAGTAGCTGACTCCTGTCGATCATTAGCAAAACCAGTCCCCAAAGATGGAGTGGCCCATAATATAAATATATAGAGAGATAGATAGAAAAGTTGCTTATAACTTGAAACATATATTTAATAGAAATAAGCACCAAGGCACAGAACTAAATAGTGCATTATTGCTGTAAAAAGTATACTTTAAAATATTTATTTTTTTAAAATAAGTGTTTTCTAGTCTCCTCTCTATGGAATGGTAAATACAAGATGCTGTGTTTTGAAAGATAATGAAATAAATTGTTTATTCAGGAAACAGAGACATAGGAATGAAAACTTAGACGTCTTCTAACTTACCTGTTGACACAAATTTTTACACTTCAATCGGATGACTGGATAGTGTTTTATTTTAGAAAAACATCAGCAAAAAATGGATGTTGAGAAATTAAAGGTTGGGTTGAGTTTTTTTTTTTTAAAATGTATTAATTTGAATCTAGACGATTGAATTAAAATGCTGTCTTAGGATTTCCAAAGCAAAAGGAATGGAGAAAAATTGCATCTTAGACCATTTTTATATACAGTGTACCATTTGCTGGGTTAGAAATGAGATAAAGATTATTTATTTTTGTTCATATCTTGTACTTTTCTATTAAAATCATTTTATGAAATCCAGTGTAGTCATGTGTGTGTGTTTAGCCGACAGGGGTACCCATTGAAGTTTGATGGGGGACCCCGGTTATGGCTTAGGGTGTCTAGAACACTACCATTTCAGGCATGTACACAATATTCTGTTTGAATCTCAAGGATTCATTTTGTACTTTAATACTCTTATTTTCTTTTCCTGTTGCTAATTTTTCTATTTCTTGTTTGCTCTGTGGCTGCTGCTAATATGTACACGTTGTAGTGGGAGGTTGTTCTTCAATGTAGTCTTTTAGCACAGAGAGATGGGTTTTGCCATGCAATGCTAAGGCAAGAAAAGAAAGAAGGATTTGAGGAAAGAAAGAAAACTGTGTGAGATATTTTGCTTGTTGTCTCTTTCATGTTGCAATGGTTGCCAGTGAGTGTCTTAGAGCAGAGTTCCTTAGGCTTGGCACTATTAACATATTAGGCCAGATCATTCTTTGTTGCGGGCACTTGTCCCGTGCAGTGTTTAGCAGTGTGCTTGACCTCTACCCACTAGATGCTAATGACATGGTTCCATCTGAGACAACCAAAAATGTCTCCAAATGTGCCCTGGGTAGCAAAATCACCCCACTTGAAAAAAAAAAACCCACAGTTTTAGATGGAGAAACTGAGGTTCAGACCACTTGAGGTATCCAGGCTGACTACAGTGGTGACTTATACTTGCCTAGGTTGGCTTATGAGTGGGAGAAGTCCCTTTTGAATTTCACTGTGAAGAGTTTGCAGATCCAGCATGGTGTCCAGGACCGGTTTAGTAGTTAGGGACACAGGTTTTGGAGCTAGATAGCTTAGGCTCAGATTCTAGTGGTGCTACTTGCTGGGAAAGTTGCACAATCTCTCTATGCCTCTGAATCCTTTGTCTTTAAAATGGGAGAGGGTATGACTATTTACCTGTTCAGATTGTCGTGAAGATAAAACGGGTGTTTCCAGTAGGTTCTACTACGAGGTAAGAGCTCAATAAAATTTTAGTGAAGAGGAGAAGGAAGGAAAGACACAAGAAAAACCCTGTGGTTCCTGGGGCTGCTGGTTTTAACACCCCTAACTCAGGCTCCGTGCTGGGGAGGCACCCTTCGTGTTTGGGGACGCTGCAAACTTGTGTCCTGCTGTCTATATCACATGTCCAGTGCTTCCAGAAGAGTTTTGTTTGACAGGCATAGTATTAAAAAAAAAAAAAAGACTTAAATTACTTGCCAACATTTCCACAATGGGTATTTTCACATTTAAATGTGGAATTCCAGCTTGGAAAATGAAAAGAGCTGGCTACCTGGATACATGTGTTGTGGGTCCCAAGGAGCGACAGCCAGCTGCATCTAAACAGCCACTGTTCTTTTTTAGACAGGGCCAGGCAGGCCCAAGTAGCCAGTCATCATGTCACTAACTGGCCTCGGCAGGCTTTTGTGGTTGTGATGGTCTCTGACAGTGTCTTTCCTTTCAGTCGGGGTTTCTTAACCACCACATGGTTGACATTTGGGGCTAGACAAGTCTCTGGACAGGGGGTTTCCTTGTGTATTGTTAGCTCCATCCCTGGCCTCTATGCACTAGATGACAATAGCATCCTCCTATTTGCGACAACCTAGAATGTCTCCAGCCGTGGCTGAATGTCCTCTGGAGTGCAAAATCACCCTGGGGGGGTGAAGACCGCTGGTCTCAACCAAAAAGGTGTGCATTTATGTGCTAGCCAAGGAGTTTAAAACAGAAATGAACAAAAACAGATTCATCTTTCAGTGCAGAGAAATACCTATCACGGCTCAGTGAGTACTCAACCAGTGTATGAAAGCCACGTCCCTCCCCGGGTTTCCCTCCACCCCTCACCTGCAGTGTCCGGTCCACCAGGTTCTTGAATCTTTCTGATCTGAGCATCCTCCACTGAAGCACAGGGACCAAAGCAACCACCCCATCTGGGTTGACATTTAAATAACATGACACAGTCTACAGAAGGCTCACAGTAGTATCGACTTCATAAAAGGTGGAATTAGTTTTTAAAAAAACGATCCATCATCAGCTAAGTTTCCTAGCCAGCCTGCCCCTGCGCAGCTGAACGTGAGCTCTGTTCTCCAGGACTTGACACCGAGCTGCAGTTTCTAGAGAGCATTCCATTGCTCTCAGACCCTGGGAGATGCTCAGCAGGAAGTGTTTCATGGCCAGACAAGTTGGGGAAATGGTGAATGATGGATCATTGCCCCGCTGAGAGATGTATGATGTTCATTAGCATATTGGCAGCACTATAATCAAAGAACGGCAGGAAGGAAATGTGCCATTGAACTCCCACTTGGTAGGACGCTCCCCACTTCCCCTCTCTGAGCACTTGCTACCGTCCCCCAGGCTGGTGGCTGGGAGGTGCTGGTGCAGCGCACCCCTGTCCTTGGCAGGTTCTGTGGGCATGTGTTTCCTTGATGTCAAGAGCTGTCTGACTTGCTTGATGCTTGTGACCACAGAGGGAGGGGGTGCTACCTGGGAACGCTGTCTGGAGAGCTGGGATCCGTCTGTCCTCCTTATGGACACATGGCTACCTTGGGGGTGGCTAATCCACTTCACAGCCTGGGTGAGGAGATAGTGTTTTAGTCAGCTTTTTCACGACCAAAAGATTTGACGAGAACCATTTTAGAGGGAGGAAAAATCTTACTGGGGACTTACAATTTTAGAGGTCTCAGTCCATAGACAGCTGGCTCTGTTGCTTAGAGCCTGAGGTGAGGCAGGACATCGTGGTGGAAGGGTGTAGTGGAGGAAAGCACCTCAGGACATGGCAGCAGGAAGCAGAGAGAGCTCTGCTCACCAGGGACAAAATATAAACCCCAAAGTCACACCCCCCAGTGACCTGCCTCCTCCAGCCTCACCCTACCTGTCTGGGTACTGCCCAGTTCATCCATTCAGGTGGATTAATGCACTGTTTAGATTAAGGCTCTCATAACCCAATCATTTCACCCCTAAAATTTCCTTTCATTGTATCACATATGAGTTTTGGGGGGATGCCTCATATCCAAACCATAAAGAGATGGAGAAGCTAGTTCTCTGGGAGGCAGAAAGGAGAGTCCTAAAACTTGCACCAAGAGGGTCGGAGAGGGAAAGACAGACCACAAAAACAGAATGAGGATAGAAAGGGGGGGAAAGGGAAGATGTAGAATATGGAGGAGGCAGGTGAAGGGAAGAGCGATCCAGCTGTCCTTTGACCATTGTCTTCAAACAAATCTCATTTCTAATAACTTAAAAAATAAAAGCACTGGAAGAACGTAATATTTGCAAGCATTTACTCCTGTCTGGCACGTGTTAAGGGCTTCATCTTTCATCTCCCTTAAGTTAGATTCCCAAGAATCTCTGACCCTTAATTGATAGCT